GCATCTATTTGTGGGCAAACATCTCGCTGTACGCACCCATCACTCTGCGGCCATTGCCTCAAGACTTTGAACCTGTTTTGCTGGAAATGCCGGTTATTCGCAGCGATGAGGAAGAGGAGGAAGAAATCAATGAATCAAATGCCGTATTCGATGGCACCGAAGATGTAGAACAAATGGATACCAATGAAGATGTTGTATATAAATCACCGGAACAGTTGACTAACGACTTGATAACATTGTCGTCGCTGCCGGACTCGAAGTGGAAAAATCTCTTGTGTTTGGATTTAATTAAAGTTAGTTTCGATTCAATTGTTTTTTACTTGAAATCTAATGAATTGTTTTTGTGTACAGAAACGGAATAAACCCAAAGAACCGGTACATAAGCCCGAAAACGCCCCCTTCTTTCTACCGACAGTCGCGGGACTCGAACCCAAGTTTGCCATCGAAGACAAAGATGACGACAAGAATAAAGACAAACAAATTGATTCACATATTGTTGACAAATTGAAACCCATTTCAATGTTTGGAAAGTTAATCATTACATGCCATGAGAATGAGTCTAATTATGAGCCACTCCTGGATCTCCTTAAAACGATGGGTCCCTCAGCCATCGACGCCGAGATCCGATCCTTATCCACACAACTCAATGGTTCGCCAAATCTATTGATCTATTTCTTGGACGCAATGGAAGCGACGCTTAAGACTAATAAGGACTTCGAACTGATTCAGTCATATTTGGGACTATTCCTCAAAATACACACCGAAGATATCGTTACCAATGAAGCCCTTAAGACACGGTGCGAACAGTTATCCCAAATGACTGATGAGTTATGGGATAGACTATCGAAAGAGTTTAATAAGTCGTTGTGTTTAACAAATTACTTGCGAAGCGCTGTCCTATGAGTTAATAATGAGTTTTATTTTGTGATTATTTATGAGACGATGTAATAAAAGCACGAATTTCTTTGTTTATGAAATCGAGAAACAATTGGTTCGGAATCAATGTTTTGCTGACTTTCATCTGCTGTATGAGCGACGACCTGTTCTCCTCAATGAACCCTTTGTTGACACCCCGAGTGGTGATCACTTTGCTGGAGGTCTTGAGCTGAGCGCCCAGTGCTGTGGCCGGGGGTTTGAGTTCCATTAGTATCTGTCGCTTATCCACAGTACTCATCACCTCTTCGATGATGTCCGGTATGAATATATACGTGAAAAAGTAGGGGTAAGTGAACTTCTGCTGCCCCTGAGAGCCGTGAACTTTGGCCCCATTCCGCACGAATGACATACACGTCAGGAATAGTTGCACATTGTTTGGCCACACCGGTCAGTAGTTGCAGGACATCCTCTTCCTCCATAACAACACCACTAATGGGATTGAAATTTGAGGTATAAATCACTCAAAACACGAGTGCCTTTCGGGAATCAAAACCACATTTGGATTCAATCAGCACTTCCTATAGACACGTCTGAATCCATTCATTCATTTAAGTTATATATTAAACAAATGATTGAATAAATTGCGAAACAATTTATCCAAAAACTACTGTTAAAAGAGATTCAATTGCAATGTATGGTTACATCAGTAGTGCTGCCATTCAAGCCCTCATGTCTTCGCCGTATAGGTCACTGTCATCTGCGGTCACTAATTATCTCATCGATTATAACGCTACTTAAATCTCAACTATCGTCTCATTCATCGGATCCAATGAATGCTCAGATGGCGAGACATGAGAGCTTTGATCACATTTTATGTCAATTAAGCCATTGTTTTAATTAATACTACAAACAATTGTAATACAATTCAATACAGCTGTCAATCATCTCAATAGTGGTCCGGGCTTTCAATTAGTCCCTAAACGGCGTACCCCTTGCTATCAAATGGGGGGAACGGGTGGTATAGTCCACAGCTGTGCCCCCATACAGCCCACTGCCCATTGAAATGACATGATTTGCTTCAATTTGAATGTTACGGTCAGTAGTGAGACATTCATTGCATTCATATAGCATTCAATCAAGTGTCGGATAATTAAGACTCTCATCTCGTATGGGATTAACAGTAATCTAATCTCTTATGGGATTAACAGTAATCTAAATATCATTGAAAACTGCATTAACTGTTGACACCAATGAACACTCAATCAAATGCCATACAAACACAGTATAAAACATAGGATTTATGTTTGCAAACAAATTGCATATATATAATAGATATAAAAATCGCAAATATAGAGTCAACTGATCAGGATCAATCGAGAGAATAGTAAATTATAATTAAAAAATAGTTAAATAAATGTATCAATTACAATTAGGGGATGATGGCGAGAAATACCTGGCTATAGTCAATACAATTGTGTACTCATTGAGTGTGTATTCAAGTCAAAACTAATTAGATATTAGTTTTATTTTTAGTGGTACATGTATTAAATATTAAATTAAACTAGGTTAAAACTATATTTAATTACAAACACCGATACAATTCGTGACAATTGATTGAGTTTTTTGTTTTAATTGTTTACCAAATGTTTGCACAAATTGAGTGCCATTTTGTGGTACGTCCACAAAACACGTGCAGTATTTTCGTTGACGTTGTGTGTGAATGACCCCCGGGTTTGACACTCAAAACAGACAAACCATTGAACGCTTGCATTGAATTGATTGACAGTTACGGCTAACATATAGTGATCACCCATTGGATCAGCTATGGTGAAGACGAGTACCAATGAGGACGAGACGAGACATTACATGATATCGCGGGCCAAGAGTTGCCTGAAGACGGGTGACTCGAGTTATGCCAAGTGTTGGGTCATCACCGCTAACGCACTGTTCCCTCACAACGACACCATTAAGGTCTGTCACACCATCACCCGTGGATCCATTAGATGATAATGCATGTGATTTGATGTTCAGATGGAGTCATACGAGATGTCCAAATGCGACGGCAATGTGGAGGAAGCGGTGAAATACTTGTGCGAAATGTTTGACACCAAAGACTGCGAGCAAGAGCTCAACCAAGAGTTCAACAAAATGATCATCTCTTGTCGTAACGAATGGCAAACCCATCACTTGAATGAACAACAAATGCATTCACTGTTTGGCAACAATTGGCTCAATCTCAACCAAACATCCATTCAGTTTTACGCCAAACTCTTCGCGTCGCTGTCCACTGAATATCAGTACAAACTCTTGAGACGAGTGGCCGATAGGACTGACGATAAACTCGTTTTAATCGATTTATTGCTGTTTATACTCAAGAGATTCCCCGAAAGTGTGGTCGAGATTGGGATCAAATTGATTGACATCATGGATGAGAGCAGTGTTGACTCGACAAGTGATTCCGATGACCACTTGAGTCGATACTTGAAGAAAAAGTTGGTTTTTGATGTGTTGCCACTGATTTTTGCCACAAACTCACCGCTAGTTCTCGAGTCGGACGTCATCAAGAAGTTGATGCAAAAGACACTCAAATACTTTGTCGAGAAACTGATTGCACCGCTAAGCGACCGAAACTACCAGAACCTCGACGCCAATGATGACAATCAGGACAGCGGTTCCGGTAATAAGGAGACCAACGAAATACTTGAACACAAGACGTCCGAAATATTCCACTTAATCGGTCTCAAGAACCAGTGGAAGCTCTTCGAGAGCATCGACTTTCTGAATGAGAAGCAATTGGAACTGATTTACGACAAGATATCGCACTTTATCGACGAGTTTCGGTTCAAAGGGGACACGGATTCGCCGATGGATTTGAGTTCAGCCACGACTGCGATGATCGGCGGCGACGAACACACGAACCAACAGATCCTTTACGCCACTCTTCTCCTGTTNAAGGGGACACGGATTCGCCGATGGATTTGAGTTCAGCCACGACTGCGATGATCGGCGGCGACGAACACACGAACCAACAGATCCTTTACGCCACTCTTCTCCTGTTCCTCCAGTGTCTCCACAAATATCTGACATTAAGCGCAGACATCGTACTCATCGAGCAGTCCAACCACGCCTTCAATGAGACTAAGATCGCGCTGTCGTTGAATAAGAAGCGAAAACTGGCCGAACCTGACCTCCAGACCCATGACCTCCACATGAAGCAGATCTTTGTGGTCGCCTCTAAGGCACTGAAACTACTTCAGGAGAATCTCACGATAAGTTCAGGTATTTTCGTGGCATTTGAATCCCAGTGCCCTCTCATCTCATTTGTATGCTTTTCGTTTAGATTTTACCAAAATATCGGAAACAATTGGATTGAATTCGTGTCACTCTTACCACTCATTCGTAATCGACTCAAACATATATAGAGCCGAATATAACGAGGTTTCCGCACAAATAGCTAACAGAAAGACACCGAAT